AGTGGTCGCCCCATTTAAGAATGGTTTAAGCAACTCTTTATATGCCAGATCTGCACTTGATTTGCTCCACTGGCTCACAGTCAGTTTCCAGTATCATCTATGGTTTTGGTCATGGTCTTCAAAGCAACTGTGGATCAAACACCCCAGCTACATCAAAGACTATATTTCTATTTGTGAACTACCAGAATAGTTGTATTCCTTTGGGCAATGTAGATGATGCAATGCCAGAGCAACCACACGTCCCATGGGACACAGTGTTCTGGGTTAGAGGTTCAGGCTATGAAAAAAAGTCCCCAAGGCAATCAGGTGAATGCAGAGGAAGAGATGGCTTAAAGGAGGCCTTACTAAACACCTCTGTGAATGTGCTTTATTTCAACTAATGGTGCAGAAGAAACTCCCATTTTTATCTGAAACATAATTGTCAAAAGGAAGACAGTTAATATACTTTGAAATGCTGTCAGGTGGAAGATACTGTATGTTTAGAAGTGGAGTACCTGTACAGAGTACCTGCTAACAGTATTTAAAACTTACCTTAGAACTGCATTAAAATCACAAACTGCTTACTGAGAGAGACCACATTATTAACAAAAGCCAAAGGTGACATACCTCTAAAAGAACTGAATGTTTTAGTAGGAATAATAAGTGTTGTATAACTCGTTCCTGTCTGTTGAAAGACAGAAATCAAGTCTGACCGACTTCTAAATGAACCTTAAAACTCTTCTTTTTAGTTGATTAGAAATATTCCACCACTGTGCTATATCTATAAAGTGCTACGGACAGAATTGACACTGCTGAAGCAATTCTCTGCCTCACTCAAATTGGATACAAGAGACTAATAAATTGCTAAAAGGGTTGAACATAAAAACTGCAACTCCAGATAATTTAATCAAATAAAAATAAATACCTATTACATTAATTATAAACTAAATGCCTCAATAAATGTATTGTGTAATTTAAACCCTGAGTAAAGCAGCAGCGTCTGTGTATCCACAGGTTTTCATAGCATGTTTTTTGGCTTTCCATTTTTATCCCACAGCAGTAGATAGTGCTTTCTTGAATACCTAATGGGTGGCAGAAAGAAGACATCACTGTATTGTTCAGAAAAATGTAATCCCTTGAGTGTCTGTTTCCTTAAAAAGTTGCATTAATTTCTTCATTTTAGGCTTCTCTCAACCCTCCTAACAGATCTGCCTGATCTTCATGTATTCAGCTTTCTCTGTATGAAACTCAGTTGCCATTACATCTTGTAATAAAAACAGCTGGGTGTTGTGTAGGAGGTACCATGTCTTGAAGCAGGGCAGCAGCTCTTGAGGAGCCTGCCCTGTTTGCTTCACCTTATGTATCTTTCCAAAATGCTTTAAGTGAGTCATCACTGATCTGGTACAGTGTGTGGATGTTGGTGAGGTATCCAAACCTTCCATTTTCCTGCATAGGAACTTTGCTGAATTTTTCTGTAGTGATGTCTTGCAACAAGAAGTATTTCATAGGAATATTGTGTGAATACAGAGATGTTTCCATCTCTGTACCATATTAAAACTGGAAGTTTTCACACAAAGTTTGTGCATACTGATACTAAACTGCTAATAGAAGGGGCCAGCCTGTCTGGTATGGTAAAAGATAGCTAGTTATCCTGTGGCAGAATGAAAATAGCAAGGTGAGGGCCACTGAATCCTGCTTTCCTGACTAGCCTGATTCAGTGATTTCTGGGCTTTCTGTCCACAGTAGAACTCCGTTATAAATCATTCTGCAAAGCAAATTGTCACCTAAACTTAGACATAAATTACAGACAGTACAAATCTGTTCTTCAGTTCATGTTGTCTTTGATAGGGCTTGCTCTAGGAAGGATCCAATTGCAGTTCTCTAAATTGCATCCTATTTGTTAATTTTATCTAGAGAATTTTACAGGTGTTGCCTCATGCTGTGATTTGACGTTTTTTCCTCCTGTTGTTGTGGTGAGTAATATGAAATCACAGAATTTATTCTTCCTGAATGGTTGATAAAAATTTGAATAAAGAGTGAAAAATAATGAGTTGTTCAGCTCTGGATGATAAATGTTCATGCTAAAGTTCTTAACAGTTTCAGGGACATACAAATATTTTAATGAATATGTAACAGGCAGTGCTCATAAGAAATATGACCTTATGATTTATGATGAATTAGAGGCATCTTTGCCAATTACTTCTTTTGTAATAGTAAGCAGTACTTTGAATACATCTCTGCAACATTTTTGCTGGAAAAGTGGATATGGAAGCATAATGTAAGTGAAGGTTTGCTCTGTGAGTGTTTGTTTCATATGTACATGTATCATAGAATACTTTCATGATAGAATGGTTTGGGTTCAAGATCATCTAGTTCCAACCTGCTATAGGCAGGGACACCTCACTCACAGCCCCATCCAGCCTGGCCTTGAATGCTTCCAGGGAGGGGGCATCCACAGTCTCTCTGGGCAAGCTGTTCCAATGTCTCACCACCATCACAGTAAACAACTTCTTCTTAATATGTAGTCTAAATCTACCCTCTTCCAGTTTCAAACCATTTCTCTTGTACTGTTGCTACATGCCCTTATAAAAAGTCCCTCCCCAGCTTTCCTGCAGGCCCCCTTCAGGTACTGGAAGGCTGCTATAAAGTCCCCCATATCCTTCTCTTCTTCAGGCTGAAAAGCCCCAGCTCTCTCAGCCTGTCTTCATTGCTCCAGACAGAACTTAAGAACTTATGCAGTGCCAACATTTTGCTGACATAGTTGAGAAGGTGCATGTTAAGAGCAGTCTTAGAATCATAGAGTCATAGAGTGGCCTGGGTTGAAAAGGACCTCAGTGATCATCGAGTTTCAACCCCCTGCTGTGTGCAGGGTCGCCAGCCACCAGACCAGGCTGCCCAGAGCCACATCCAGCCCGGCCTTGAATGCCTCCAGGAATGGGGCATCCACAGCCTCCTTGGGCAACCTGTTCCAGCACATCACCACCCTCTGCATGAAAAACTTCCTCCTAATATCTAACCTAAACCTCCCCTGTCTCAGCTTAAGACCATTCCCCCTTTTCCTATCACTGTCCACCCTCATAAACAGCCGTTCCCCTTCCTGTTTATAAGCTCCCTTCAAGTACTGGAAGGCCACAATGAGGTCTCCCTGGAGCCTTCCCTTCCCCAAGCTAAACAAGCCCAGTTCCCTCAACCTTTCCTCACAGGAGAGGAGCTCCAGCCCTCTGATCATCTTAGTGGCCTTCCTCTGGACCTGCTCCAAGAGCTCCACATCTTAAAAGATGACTGCCAATAAATGTTGGCTTTCTGTTGCAGTGTCACACATACATGTTAGAAATATTTTATTCCATATCACAGCTTTGAATAATGTTTCTCTTCTGCTTTTTTTTATATGTATTTTGTATATACTACTTGTATTGAAAGAACAGATGCAGTGGCTCAAGTGAAGAGCTGAACTGGAGGATATTGTTGCAAAGCAAAAAATGTGTTGTATTTTTTAATTCTGTTGTGAACTGTTGTGCCTGAAGTTCCTGCCAACCAGCATGCTTTTCAGTCAGTGCCTGTGTTACTGCCAGTAGTTCACAGTGCTACTGAGTCTGATGATACCCTTAGTGATTTCATACACCCAGCTGTGCAATTACCTTTACTTGTATTTTATAACAGTCAAGAACAAAATGCGTGTTTTGTATGTTTTTTTCTTTTTCCTTTTAATAGCAAATCTGGCTTTCTGCCCTTTCTCATTGCTTTCAGTGCATTGTAGAAGTATTGCTGAACAGGGCCTTGCAGTGGTGACTGATCTTACCCCTCACCAGCTCATTTCCTTTCACTTACCATATGTGCCAATATAAAAGAAAGGGAATTTGATGTGGGTTTTGTTTGTGTTTATTGTGGTGAGATATATGCACTTGAGAACAGTGTACTTTAAAACTTTGGCCTGGAGATAGATGGAAGTAGTGAAAAATCACAACCGTAATTAACTTTAAATATTTAATTATGTGAAATTATTCATAGAATAAAGTATCATTTAAGTGAGTGCTGCTTTGAAAATTCATCTGTGGAGATACTGGTTAGAAATGTAAACAGAAGATAGTGATGTATTTAATTATAGTTTCATTGGGGTTTTTGTTTGTTTTTGTGGAGTTGGTTTTTTTTTTTTTTTTGCTTTTCACTGTAAGAATGTGTGAATCTCAGGTCTGTGTCACTTAAAATTGCCTGTAAACTTTTTGTCTGTGTTTTTGTGTGCACATGCAGTTGCACAGCCCTCCAAACTGTCTGCTTTGTTAGTGCCCGTTCGCAGTAGTAACACTTACAACAGTGGTGCTGTTAGGTCAGCACCGCGTGCAGCAGAGCCTGCACCTGCAGTGCAGTCAGATTCATTTTATCATCCAAAACCTTCATGGAGTGCCCTTTTCATTAAGGAATTAGTGAGGCATTCCCACACCTGTGGGGAAACTTGCCTTCCAAAGAAGGGCTGCAAGACTGAGGGGAGCTGAGCCCCAGGGAGAGGAGATGGGAAGGAGCCTCAAGACTGCACATCATTTGCAGTGAATGGCAGAAACTCCCATAGGACAGTTAATTCCAGTCAAATTTTAGCACTTGTGTTTTAACTGGCATGGAAGACTGCCTAAGTTTTAAATCACTGTATTTTATGAAGTACACCTTGCAGAAGTGATTAATGTGTACTCAAGCTCACATCTCTTTGCCAGTGTTTGGGACAGTGGAGTTTTGTCTTAAACACTTTGAGAAGACTGTTAATAAGATGCTGCCAAAATCTTTTAGATTTGGTAGATTTAATATGAAAGTAGAAATTGAATGTAAATCTTTGAACTTTGTTATGAATAATATTCTTCAGCCTTTAATAGTCTTGAAGGAAGAGTACTGATGACTACATAAACGATTTCATTTTCCTGGGTATACTAGTGATGTCCTTCAGGGGTGGTGAATGGATTTTGTTATAGTGTCTCTGTTAATGGGGTTGTGGATGTGTTTGCTTGTCTTGTAACTCTCCATTTGTCACCTGGCAGGCTGAAGGTGAAACAGTGGCTGTTCTTGCACACAGTGGAAGTGAAGATGAGTTTGATCCAAGTAGTCTCCCAGATCCTGATAAATACAAAGATTCTGATGAAGAACAAGATACAGAAAGTGAAGACAGCTATAGGTATGTACATATCTTCCTCATTGATTTTGAAGTATTCATGTTTTTTAGAAACTGATGTGTTTACGTATTAGGAACTCATTATAGTTATCCTGTTGCTTCCACTACTTAATGTTTGAGAGTTTGTTTGTGAGGTGGGTACTGAAGAGAAATCTATATTAAAGCTATTATTTCATTTTGTGAAGCTGTATGAGAAAGATACTGAGTGAAGTCCTGCGTGGTTTTTGTCATTTGCTTCACAGCAACAAGTCCATTTGTGTGTTTCTCACAAAAAGCTTGTGTGTTACAGATACGGAAGCATGTTATTGACACTTAGTGCTGTTAAGTGTAGATCTTTATTTTGCCCTGTTCTAGCTGTCTGGGTTTAGAAATCTTACTTTCCACATCTGAATCAGATATCTAAGCAGCTACATATTGTTGTTAGGCCTAGGATAAGTGTACACTGTGGGGATGCTGTGTAGGGCAGGGTGCTGGGACATGGATTTACAGACTGGATAACCCTAAGTAAGCAGCTGGTGACCATTTCCCCTGTAGATCTCTCACCAGTGTGTTGGTCAGTAGAACTGACAGGAATGGGTACATCAATAATTTTCCTGCTTTTTTTTGTGCAAGGAGTGAAAGAAGGTCACTGTAACTGAATTGTAGTTCCTTCTGTGCGTTCACTTCTCTCACTTGATTCACTATCTGTACTACTTGTAGAATGAGTGAAAAAGCTGGGTGTAAAACATTAAAATAGCTTTCTAAAAATGGGCAGAAAACAAGAAACCAGTGCTTAACAAGATTCTTCCAGTTCCTATTGTATTTCTGACATCTTGTCTCTGCCCATTAGCTTTTGCTGAGAGGAAGAAGCATAATTTGTTAAAATGTTCTCCTGTAATGAGGTTTAAGATTCAGCATTTATTGAGGAGGTTTGTATAAGAGGATTTGCAGATTGCTTTTCATGTGTTATGAGAGTTTAAATGTATCTGTCTATACTTGATGAATGCATTCTCTAGTGGTATTTTTATATTGCTTGGAGCAGGATCAGGTTAATGTAATGAAATTGTATTCTCAGCTTCCCCCAGATAATTTCAGAAATATGGCTAATGCTGTCTTTTTAATATACGAGACTCTGATGAGTAATAACCTGGGTGTAAGACAGTCATTTGAGCTAGAAGATGCTGTGGAACCCCATTTTGTGGGGTTTGGACCATCTCTGCTGATGTGAGCTGTAAGATAAGCAGTAGAACAACAGCATATTTAGGAATTTTGGTTTATGTGGAAGATTAATAAAGGAGCCAGGAGAAGTATTTCAGGATTCTAATGGGACTTGTAGCAGTGCCCACTCTGTTGTTTTGCCTTTGAGAGCAAATTCTGAGCTGACTTCAGTAGTAATACTTTGCTCCAGATTAAAAAAAAGAAAAAAAAATAGTGGACAGGGTATTGTGAGGTAAGAGGTGGTCACTGATGGTTTGTTTCTTGGAAGAAGAATAGAAGTTTATTGGAAAGGTGTGAAAGATATCTTTGGTAAGAGGTTGGCTATCAAGCAGTACTTGTTTATTAGTTAGTATGTTGCTTCTGAAGGGCAGATTCCTGGAATCCATTAAGCACTGTACTAGTGCTCTGATGGGAAGGGTTTATCAGCAACCAAGCGTAGGAAACCTGATGTCAAAGCATGACCTGTTATACACTTCCTTACCTCAGGCAGTTCCAGTTACTCACAAGTTGTCGCACACCTAGTGTAGGAGAAAGGTATTCATTGCTGCATTTCATGAACAAGATTTAGCATTGTTTCATCTGATTGCCTTAGCTAGGAAACGCTGACTCAACAAAACCATGTTTTGTAATGGAACTGTTTAATAAATATTCTGAAAAAGTTATGAGGGCAGTCAGACTAAAATTAGGTGGGGGTTGCCTAGTATATTTTCAGTATCATTAAGTAACAATTTACTAGGGGAGATCTTTCTTTTATAAAGTATTCATGTATCACTTTTTATATTAATCCCTTCCTCAAGGATGTCAGCTAGACGAAAGATTTGCTATGTTTTAAGACAAACACTGATAGAGTTGGGCAGATTGTTGGTGGTTCTAATCAGTACATATTTTTTGGAATCAGCCGTTGACGTGGCCCTCTGGAATCAGAATGTCAGCTCACAGAAGGAAGGTCTTGGTCATTTCCCTTTCCTATAAAGTAGAATGGAAAAGGCAGTGCACATTGAACAGGAAAAAAAGGAGTTAAACCTTCTAACATATTTTCTTCAGCAAATCTCAGAACACTGTGCAAAGGAGATGGGTATGGTTTTTGCAGACAGGAGTGTTGTGTCACAAAGTAACTTGAGGCCAAGCTGATGACACAGATCTGGGAATAAAACTCAGGTACCCTGAGGGCCAAGTGCTCTGTCCACTAGGCAGCATTTCCTTGGTAACTGATTTTTGTGTGTGTGTGTTTGTGGGTTTTTTGTTGTTGTTTTGGTTTGGTTTGGGTTTTTTGGTTATGTTTTTCAGTATGTCAAGTTTACATACATGTAACTTAACACCTTGTAGGTGCAGTATAGTCGTTTTACTGGTTTTGTCCTGAGCTGAATTACCTTAGAGGGAACATTTTCTTGGAACATCTGGATGCCTACAGTGTTTTGTTTATCTCAAAATTACATTCAAGACCAATCTCCTTGGATGGAAAGAGCAATTTTGAGAAAAATATTCTCTGTGTATGATCCAACGTGAGCTGAGATGGATTATTTTTCTACCATATATTATGTCTTGCCAGGTTTACTTTACTGCATGTACTTTAGGTACGTTTGGAGGTTACTTTGGAATGAAGTGTAATGATAGAACATTTTCCATGCTACGATGTTACCTACATTGTGTCAATGTATTTAAAAGGTAACTTAAAATCTGGAAGGGTTTTACCAGTGGAATTTACTTTTTAAGTTATGAATTTAGCCTTGAGCATGGCAGAAAGTCATTTATCTTGAAGGTTGGACTTCATTTGGTCTTTGAAACCTGATTGTGTGTGGAAGCTACTTAAACTACAAGGGCTGTTCCAAAAGCAATGCCTCCCACTTTATTATGTTGCCCATGACATCATAGGTGGATAGTGGTAGAATGGCAGTAGAGATTGAACCTTTCTGCCAATATTCCATTACATTTTGTTGCCACGAGACAGATGGCAACAGAGGGACAGTCTGACAAAATGGCATCTGATGTGAAAGAGTATATGAAGCAAAGGTGTGGAACTGCATTTCTGAAAAAATGGCACCCTCTGACATTAATTAATGCTTGCTGAATGTTTGTGGAGACCAAACAATGGATGTTAACACAGTGAGGTGGTGGGTGGCATTTTTCAGCTGTGATGACAGTGACGTAGTGATGTGAAAGACAAGCCACGTTCTAGATGGCCATGCAGAGCTGTCACACCACAAAATGAAGAGCATCTCAATCTTCTCAGCCACAAATCAGTAGATTATTATGACCAGGGAACTGTTTACAGGGTTGAAAATTTGTTTCACTGCATTGGAACCAATACTGGCAGTATTGGAATATTGCAAAGCTTGTGCCAAGTGGGTCCCATGAATGCTCATACAGGAACAGAAGGAACGCTATGTTGTTTTGTCAGGACCTATTGAACCAATACATGGCTGAGGGTGACAGTTTCCTGGATTGCATCATTACTGGTGAATAGATGTGGTGTCACCACTGTGAGCTGGTGTCAAAATGGCAGTGCGTGGAGTTGTGACATGTGAATTCCCCATTGAAGAAAAAGTTCAAAACTCAACCCTAAGTGAGTAAAGTGATGTGTGCTGTCTTTTGGGGTAGGAAAGAGTGATCCTGCTGGATTTCCTCGAACCTGGATCAGCTCTCACTGCTGCATTATGGTGCTGATTAAGCTGAAGGCTTAAACTTCCAGAGTCAGGTCAGAGAAGAAGACAACCTTTCTCTTGCAACATGGTAGTAAAATTGAAGACCATGGAGCACTCTGCCAATCTTGGCTGGACTGTCCTACCACACCCATCCTATAGCCTGGATTTGACATCTTCTGATTTCTATCAGTTTGGGCTGTTGAAAGATGGACCATGTTAGGCAACGTTTTCCTGGCAGCAATCATAGCAGCTGTAAAACAGTGGGTCTCTTCTGCTGGTGCAGATTTTTCCGAGCAACATACAGTTTTTTAGCTGAGAATTTGCTCTATCAGATAGTGTTATTGTGCTCTTTGTATCTGTTTCTGTTTCCATGGAAATAAATAGGAGGCATTACTTTCAGATTAACCCATGTAAAAATCATATTTAAAGTTTTGACTAAGAGGAGCCAAGGAACATCCAATAAAGCAAGTTTCATATTGTGATTTTCTTTTTTAGTGTAGCTGATAGTCATTAAAATCTTAGCAATATTCACTTCTTTGAAAAGCATTCTTGCAAATCATCCACTAAATCATAAATTCTGTTATTTTCCCATGCACTGTCAGCTCATTTTTGCCATGCAAACCCTCTTGACTTAAAGATTTTTGGCATTCATTAAATGATGACAAAGCAATTTGCTTTTGCTTCCTTGATTAAAATACTGAGCAAAATGCTTGTGTAAATCTGCCCTGTCCGTTCAGTGCTCTGGGAGCTGTAATCTAGTTGGGGTGATTTTTTAATTTTTATTGTTTCCTCCCCAGTTTTGAGGTTTAAGCTCTCCCTAGCTAGTCCCAGCTGTTTCTTGGGGTAACACACCTCAAGAAAGCCAACACAGGTTTCCGGCCTGTCAGTCTGAGCTCAGTGCCAGGGAAGGTTATGGAGCAGTGCACCGTCAGTGCCGTCATGCAGCACCTACAAGACAGCCAGTGATCAGGCCCAGTCAGCATAGGTTAATGAAATGAAGGTTCTGCCTGACTAACCTGATTGCTTTTTGTGATAAGCTGACATGCTTAGAGGAGGAAAGACATTGGGTATTGTTTACTTGAACATTAGCAAGGCTTTTGATACGGTTTCCCACAGCCTTTTTCTGGAGAAACTGTCTGCTGTACGACCACCCGTCAGTGATCT